AGAAAAAATCTTTGACAGAATCCAATGCCCATTCATGATTTTAAAAAATAACCTGAAGAAAACAGGTATAGAAGAATCTTATTTCAATTAGATAAAAGCCATTTATGACAAACTTACTGCCAACATCATAATAAATGGAGAAAAGCTAAAATCTTACTCTCTAAAATCAGAAACAAGACAAAGATGTCTACTATCACCACTCCTACTTGAGATAGTGCTCAAAATTTTAATCAGAGCATTTAGGCAAGAGAAAGAAATAAAAGGAATACATATAGAAAAGAAAGAAGTCATACTACCCTTATTCACAGATGACATTATCCTTTACATAGAAAATCCATAAAATTTCACCAAAAGGCTCTTAGAACTAATAAATTCAGCACAGTAGCAGATATAAAATCAACACACAAAAATCAATAGCATTCCTGTACACTAAAAATGAACCCATTAAGAACAAAATCAAGAAAACAATGGCTTTAAAAAATTAAATGCTTATGAATTAATCTAACAAATAAAATGAAAGACTTCTATGATGAAAACTGTAGTACTCTGATAAAAGAGATTGAAGAGGGCATCAGAAAATAAAAAGATAGCCCTGTTCCTAAGTAGGCAGAACTAATATTGTCAAAATGGCCATACTATCAAAATTGATACAGCAGTCCCAGTCAAAGTACCAGCAGCATTCCTCAGATACCTAGAAGAAACTCTTGAAATTCGTATGGAACTAGAAGAGACCCAGAATAGTGAAAACAGTCCTGGGCAACACAAACAAGCAGGAAGCACTGCAATCTCAAATTTCAAGTTACATTACAAAGCTACAGTGACAAAAACACCATGGCACTGGCATAAAAACAAATATGTGGATCAATGGAATAGAACAGAGGACACATAAACAACCCCAGGCACATTCAGATACCTGATCTTTGACAAAGGGGCCAACAACATATACTGGAAGAAAGATAGTCTCTTTAACAAATGGGAAAACTGGCTATACGCATGCAGAAGATTGAATCTAGACCCATATCTCTCACCATGAACTAAAATAAAACAGATCAGAGACCTAAATATTAAAACAGAAATGCTTAGAGTCTGCTGGAGGATAAAAAGATTAAACTCTTTACTTTTTGGGGGGTACAATTATTCTAAAGTTTGTTGGCATAACAGACATTACAACCTCCAGTAAACAAGGAATTTTTCTGGTTGCACTATTAATAAATTGAAACCCAAATCAAACTAACAAATTTCTGACTTCCTAACTTCCCTGAGAGCTTATCACTCTCTTCTTTTTGTTTTTTCTCCTTAACTTCTGGACCTTGTTGCAGTCACCACATTATATAATACTTATTTTTCTGACAGCTCATTAGAAAAAAAGTCAAAAGAGAGAGAGGAGAGAAAGATAAAAAGAAAGAAAGGAAAGAGGGAGGGAGAAAGGAAAGGAATGGAAGGAAGAGAGTGAAGGAAGGAAGCTAAGAAGGGAAAAAAGGAAGGAAATGATTGGCTGCTTTATATATGATGTCATAATCCTATTGAAGTAGAAGACAAATTTAACAGACCATTAGTTGTTCTTATGCTGTCATATACTACCACACAGCCAGAAGCCATTTATTCTAGAGAAGTGTAATGTGTCAAACATCTAGATAGAATAGCGTTCCTGCAAGTCTTTCATTTTGTCCCTTGTATTTTAATTTGAAATGTTAAGCCAACAAAAGCTAAGTGAATCCATTCAATGAAGTGGAGTGATACATGTTGTTCACACTACACTAAGTATGTGAAATAAACTACAAGGATGTATAAATGGATCCCTGTCTTGATTTCCAGCTCGTCCTCACCAAAGACAGTTAAAAACACTTAGCCATTGTGGCTAAAAGAATAGTCTGTGTTCTGGCCCAGAAACTCTTTCCAGGCCTGATCCTCTTTTGTGTGTGGCTTACTATTCTTAGTGTCCTACTGCTGTCCGTGTTAGGATCTTGTTTCTTTGGATCAGGGCATGTAGTATTACTATTTCAAGGAAATCTTCCAGCCTTTGTTAACCTACTTGCATGAAATTTCTTTTTATTTTGTTTTGTTTTGTTTTTTGTTTTTGAGACAGGATCTCTATATGTACTTCAGGCTGGACTTGAACTCACTATGGAGACCAGGTTGGCCTCAAACTCACAGTCATCCTCCTGCCTCACCCTCTTGAGTGCTGGGATTACAGGCATATGCCACCATGCCCAGCTGAAATTGCTTTTAAATACAGAATTTACTCATAGAATGCTAAAGCACTAATTTCATTTGAGCAGGGCTAATTACCTAATCACCTCCTGCTATGGTTGGAATGTGTCCTCCAAAATTGTCCCCCAAAATTTATGAGTTGGAAATTTAATTTCCAAGGCAACAATGTTGAGAGATAAGACATTTAAGAGGGTTTAAATCAGGTAAGACTTCTATCTTCATGAATGGATTAATGCTGTTTTCTTATGGAAATGAGTTGGTTATTTCAAGAGTATGTCTCTGATTTTTAAAAAAAGATGAGTGTAATCGTCTTTCTCTATGCCCTCCTTCTCATCAGAAGTCCCTCAACTTTGGTCTTCCCAACCTCCAGAACTGTAAGAAATAAATTTCTATTCCTTATAAATTACCCACTGTCAAGTATTTTGTTATAGTAGCATAAGATGAAGCAAGCAACCTTCCAAAAAACATGATCATCTCCCAGTGTTATCACATGGGGGTTAAAATTTCAAGATATAAATGGATGGGACACAAATATTCATCCTATAGGAGCCTGCAAAGATTCTAGTTCAACATTCAAAGATCACAAAGGTACTGGGGGATATGACTTGCACATGTATTTGGGGGACATTACTCAACCTCACTGCAAAGAAAAAAAGCAATGTCCTCATAACCTGACTCATACTCTAACCTTGAGGAACTCTGCTTTGTACTTCCAAATGCTAATAATATCCATAGGCAAAGGAAATGCAGAAGTAATGGCTGTGTTGTATGTCAAAAAGAACAAAGGCTTTAGTCAGATGAACCTAGGTTCAATCCTGGCTCTTCATGAGTTGAAAACTTGGGCAGCCACCTCTGTGAGCCTTGATATCCCCATTTGTAAAATGGGAACCTAACACATAAGACTGTTGGGAGAATTGGAGACATTGCCAAGCACAGAGATCTCTAAGCATCATTATGGGGGCGGGGGATACTTTTGGGAATGACTCACACTAAAGCTGTGGTCATGACTGAATTAGATCTCTTCTAAAAGGACAGAAATCAGTACCAAGTTAAATACTTCGGTGTTTGATCAGAGATGGAGATCAGCAACCTCAGCACCCAAGTTGACAGATGTTGGCAAAATCAAGGCAGAAACTGGAATATCAGTTAGATTTCTAAAAAAAATAAATTTCATTATTGTGCCAGGCATTGTAGATAAAAAGGATGAGTGAGATTTGGATCTTTAATACAATCAATCTGAACTATTACCTAAGGCTGGGAGCAGAGTTAAGGAACAAAGCAGCTAAATTTGCCTATGAGATCCTTGGAAGGTTTTGAAGAGAATGTAACATCTGGGTGGCTTCTTGAAGATAATAAGGATGTCTGCCAGAGAAAAGAAGGACTTTCCACGCATAGCGGGGAAAGCAAAGCATAAGAATTAAGGAATACCTTACTACATTTGGAAACAGGAACTCAGAGTCAGTCAAAAAAGCTCAGTTATCTGAATTGACAGGAACAGGGCCAGATTATTAACAGAGACACTTTCCAAAGCCTTAGGTTATAATTTATAGACTTCCTGCCTAAAATGCAGGTTTATCCAAGAGACTAAGTAAGGCAGGATCCAGCCTGGAGATGTGAGTCGGGTAATTCCAACATTTGGGAAAGCAGATGAGCAGATTGATAACTAGTTGGGTAAGGACCTTAGCCAAAAACAGGGAAGAGAAAGGAAAAAAAAAGATTAGGGGCCATTTATTATGTGATAGATTATCTAATTTAAACTTGACAGCAATCCTCTAATGTAAAGTAGATCAAATAACCACTCCAGTTATCAAAAAGCAAAACTGACCCTAGTTTCTGAATAAAGGGAGCTTTCTGCTAAGTTAGGCAGCCCTGGGCCGGGTGCTGCTTTCCAGAAGTGATAAAGCTGCAGGACGAACAGTTCCTGAACTTCCGTTATTGCTCATTTCACTGCCTTTATTGACCACAGAGAACAACTCAGGTTTCTCGTATTTATGAGTAGCTTCCTGCTTTGCAGTGAATGCCTGCTAAAGCAGGTTCCCAAGGACACACGTGGTCAACACCATCTCTGATCCTGTATGGACAGTCCACCCTTCAATACCGCAGGAATTCATTGCCCTCTAAAGTCAAGCAAACTTGAAGTGACTCGGAGTCCTTTCTAGGGACTGTTTTCAGGATTTTAGCCACCTAGGGGTGAGGGGTTTAGCTCGGGGGTTTAGCTCAGTGTTTCCGCCGTCTGCCTCCCAAGCGCAAGGACCAGAGTTCGATCCCCTGTACCAAAAAAAAAAGAATTCTTCCCAGGATTTTAGCCACCTAACTGGCAACTGTTAGCTTCCATCCACCTTGTCACCAATCTGTCCTGGCACCTGAGCCAAGGAGGGCTTCATAGCTCAGGACGTTGCCAGCCCTCCTCGATCGGGAGTAAGGAGAAGTGGAGAGGCGAGGTCTGTAGTTTGAGGACGCCCTTCGGGAACTCCGGGGGTTGCTGGAGGTGGCGTGGGAGCCCTAAAGAGCCAGAGCTTCGCAAATCTTTAGAGCTCCGAAACTCCCCTGTGGGCGGGGCGGGACAGGGACGTGAGCGCCCCCCACCTGCAGCCACTACACAGGAGCAGGCTGGGAGGCAAGGTGAGAGAGCGACCGGCCTGGAGAGGGCGGGGCCAAGGGCGGGGTCGGAAGGGAAGTGAGCCTGCCAAGGCGTAGACGCAGGCGCGAAGGAGAGGGGAAATCGCGACTGAGCAGGGGGCGAGGGGTGGAGGCGGGGCCGGGCGGGGCCGGGCGGGGCCGGATGGGAAGTGAGCCCGCCTCCCAGCCAAGGCGCAGGCGCAGGCCCTCCTCGGCGGCTAGGTTTCCTCCAGGCTGGGAGCTCTGGGCGGTGGCGGCGGGCTCGGGAAGATGGCTGCAGCAGCGGCGGCGACGGCGGCCGAGCAGGTCTGTGAACCCCGCCGCAGCCGGGAGCTTGAGGAGCGGGAGAGGCCGGGTCTTGCCTTTGAGGCCCGCGGTAGGGTCCGCCGGCGAGGGGGGGGGCGGGGCAGGAGGAGCTGTCCGCGGCCAGGATGCTGCAAAGGCCGGCGGGACCCCGGGCGGGAGCTGCCATGCCGGGGAGGGGCGACAGCGCAGCTCTCGGCCTAGCCTGGTCTGTCTCTTGGCGGGAGTGAAGAGGGGTCACTGCCCTGAGGGTCTGGGACGCGACAGCGCCAGACCTGAGCCTGCGCCAGGACCTGCCCTGCTCTGCCGCCAGCAAAGATGCAGATAAAAATAACCTCAACCCTAGCGGGAGGCTCCCCTGACACCAGCCAAGAAATCGTCAGCTGTCTCCTGGGGACGGGGTGGTGGCCAGGGCTTCTTTCTGCCAACACCAGATGATATGTCACCATCCCAGGCTTCCCCTCAACTTTGGTTTTTGGAGATTTAGTCATCAGTATAAAAAAATTTACACAGACCTATATATGTAGATATGTGTGTGTCAATATGTGTACAAGTTGCTCGGGTGCTTGATTATAATAAAAATAATTTTTATAATTACTTCATAACTGTTGTTTCCCTTCAAAATTAACTGATATGATAGTTTCTCTTAAAAAAATAATCTCATTCTTCAACATTATTGAAAAGAATGAACCAAGTTGCTCACATTGTTTCACCTTTAGAAAGTTTTTCTTAGGCAATTAACTTTTTAATTATTTTAGGCATATATTCTTGGAGGAGTTATTCTAAGGGACAGAAAAAAGTCAACATGAAGTCTGCCTTCAAAGAACTTAAAACTGTCAAATAAATGCAGAAATATCAGCTAAAGGTAACAGGCACCTGTGTATTCCTAACAGTAAAATGTAAAGGAATAAATGAAACTGAAAAGAGCAAAGCTTGGAATTACTGAGTTTAAATTGTTCCTTGGCTTCCATGTTTGCCTTCTGAATTCATTAGCTTCTGTATGAGACAATTCTTTTTCCATCTATATTATACCTACTGATGCTGTTGGGATGCTTGAGCTTGTGTTCTTGCTTTACACAGAGGCTGAGCAGTATGATCCATTCTTTAGCCTCCACTTCAAATTTATGCATTTACGTCTCCAGCCTTGAATTTAACTGGCCTCAAACTCAAAAATGTTCAAAACTGGATTGTATCACATTCGTTACTAAAAGGGCTGCAACCATCCATTCATTTGGTCAATGAGAAACTTAGGCACAAGGCCAATTTAAAGGCTCAGAAGAAGCCCGTACTTGATCAGCAGATCCCTAACTTGGTATTTAAACAAAGAGTCCAACATTTCATTTTTTCTCTGGATCCCACAAATTATGTAGCTGAGCTGCTTGGGAGTCATTTTAGACCCCTCTATGTCACACTATCAGCCAGTCTCCTGGACCTGATAGTACTTCTTAAAGCTTCTCCCCAGTCTTCTCCACCTGAAAAGCCAAGACTGTCAGGAGGTCCTCACTTAACTTTTAGAAGAACCTTCTATTGATACCTTCATCTCATTTTTGGTGTGTTTTTGCCACAGTACACATCTTAAGTTGTAGTATTAACCTCTTTTAAATCATTAGTAGTTCCCCACTGGCTTCAGAATAAAATCTATAGTTCTTGTGATGGTCCCTATGTCATTTACTGGCCCCTAACCACTCTTTTTGCTCATTTTTGCCTCATCTCCATACCTATTCTCTCCATCCACACAAAGCTACTCTCTTAGTCACTTTTCTTGGCGCTGAGACACAAAATCTAACTTGAAGGAAAGGTTTATTTTGGCTCATGTTTATAGTCCATGGTCAGCTGGCACCAAGGCAGAATGGCGTGGCAGAGAGGCATAGCAGAAGACAGCTGCTCATGGCATGGGGGATGAAAAGTAAAGACTGAAAGGAGTAGCTGAGGAGAGAAACCCTTCCTGGCCACGCCTCCAGTGACCTGCCTCTTCTAATCAGACCCCACTTCCTCTCAGCAAATTAGCTATAAACTCCCCTAATCCAGTCACCTTCCCAAAACCCTGCCTATGAGTGCATGATAAGTTGGGGGGACATCAAGATATAAACCATAATAGCTACCAAAGTTGTTTCCTCAAGCGATGACTTATACTCTCAGTCTCCATGCTATTCCTTCCCTCTGCCAACAATCCCCTTCTCTGCTCTTTTGCCTGGCTAACTCTTTTCCATCTTTAAGGACTCAAGGCAAACCTCAACTTTTCTTGGAAATTCCACTGAAGGTCCCCCAGTCCTCATAAGTGAGACTGCACTTCTCTTCTGCACCTTTTAGTATTATGTATGCTGCTGTACTACAGCTATTAGATGTTGTACTACAGTTGTTAGTGATCTTGTCTGTCTGCTCTGATGGTCTGTAAATAATCCCTTCTAAGGATGACTGTGCCTTTTTTATCAGTTTGGAGAACTTAGCATATGGGAACTACTCAGTAAATGTTAAATCCATCAACTTGATGATGATAATGTACATGAATTGGCAGGGAAAAGTAAGGAAGGATGCATTTTGCCCCTGTCTCTTTTATGTGCCCTTATAAGACTAAAGTTTGACCGCTTATTAAAGCTGTCACAAGCTCATACTGTGTCTATGCAAATTAGAAGAAAGCACCCCTTCCCTGAGGTATTTTACTGCCTTTGGCTGAAAAACAATATAAATGCATATTCAACTCTAAAAAGTCTGCAGTGTCATGCACCTTCTCAGATGTTGCAGCCTCATACAGTACATAGCCTACACAGCTATACCCAGCAATTTGTTTTGTTAGAATGTCTTCTGAGTGGATGGTGTTACTTTCTACATTACCACTTTGTGGAATTTTTAAATTTTTATCCCCCACATTTCTCAAAATAATTCCTATCTTCCACTTTTCCATAAGCTTCAATCAGCCTGTTACCCCTACCACCACATTCCAGTGCCCCTCTCTGCTCTTATTTAGCAGATGCCCTTGCCTTTTAAATCCCTAGGAAGAAGAATGTTTTCTCTTCTTGGAGTGAACCTTTCCATCAAGTTTCAGATGAAATGGAACCCTACACTTTAAGGTTGTCTTTTTCTCCAATATTCTATATTGCTTTCTTTGCTGCCTCCTTGAAAGTTCTTGTTTCCCATCCTATCCGGTTCTATGCTGAGATCTTTGGTCTTCACCCCTGTTTTAGTCAACTTTCTGTTGCTATACCAAATATGGGAATAGTCACCTTACACAAAGAAAAAGTTTATATTGGCTTACAGTTTCAGAGGTTCCAGTTCATGGTGTATTGACCCTGTTTCTTTTAGGCCTGGGGAGGGAACACATCAAGGCAAGAGTACATGACAGAGTATAATCTGCTCGTTTATGACCAGGAAGGAAAGGCTGGGGTCCTACTACCCCTTTAGGACCCCACCCTCAATCATGGAAAGATACCCACTAAGCCCCACCTCTTAACAGTTGCACTATCGGGTTTGGGATTTAGCTCAGTGGTTCCACCTCCTGCCCCACAAGTGCAAGGACCCGAGTTTGATACCCAGTACAAAAAAAAAAGTTGCACTATCTCCCAGTAGTGGCACTTTGAGAATTAAGCCTTTACCTCATGGACCTGTGGGGGAACGCTTAAGATACAAACTGTAGCCATTCTCCTTGACTTTTTCCCTTTTGGCTGCTATCAATATACAAATCTTTCTCTGAGTTAGGGAAAGGGGGAAACACAGCTTTCCTCTGACACTTCATAACTCTTTAGCTATAGTTTTCTGTTTAACATCTTTTATTCTTTTGAACATGAAAATGGATGTATACATGCTCACATCTTTTCAGTATTAGCTATTCACCTTACCAATTTGCTACTCAAAATTCTTTTTTTAAAAAAAAATGTGACTTTTCTCTTGTCATTATTCTGGAGGGAGGAATCCTCATCATCTTCCTTCAAAATTCATTTTTGAAGGTCATAAAGGCTCTTCTTGAAAATCAAGTTCAGAAATATCACCCATGTCTAGTTTTCTTACCATTCATCATATTTCTAATTTTCCAGCAGTTCTTCACATTTAAAGTTTCCCAAGACTACATTACATCCTTAACCCTTTGCTTCCCTCTGTATTATTTTCCACAGTGAACTGTTGTGGTCTCGTAGTTTTAATTTACCTCTAGACTGAGGAGGACTCTACAGTCCACATGGCTAGTCATGAATGATCTAATATCCAATCTCAAACCTCCAGTAGCCTTTGAAGCATGTGTTGTTTCATTCAAATCAAATGTGAATGTGTAAGCTCTTCTGCCATCATTCTTCCTTAACTAGTCACCATTGGATAAATGTGTATTTTAAACTTGCTACAAATTTAGTTAAGTCTGAAGTAAATCTATCCTTTTAGTTTAGACTCTCATTACCTCAAACTTACATTGTTACAACATCCCCAATATCCTACTTACTGGTTTTTCTCTGTCCTATCTCTCCTAAAAATGCCAGTTTAATGTGCTGCAACATATGTCATCCATGCTCAAAAAAAAAACCTCCCATGACTCCCAGTTAAACTAAACATAAAGACAAGAGTCTGTACTCTGCTGTCCACAGACCTTTTCAGCCTGGCCCTAATTTCCAACTTTAGTCTTCCAGCATTTCCATATCTGACCCACTGTTAATGGCTTGTGTTTAGATGTCCCCCCAAAGCCTCATGTGGATGAGGTGGGACTTTGTTTTTCAGAGGTGGCTAAATCGGAAATGTGTGATGCTGGGATTAAGGGTATATGATTACTAAACTACTACACCTGAGTGATTGGTTTGGTACGACCCAATCCTGGTAGTCTGAGTAAGATAAAAGGGGCAGAAAGACACTGTTAAGCTCTCTTGTTGCCTTTGCTGTCTTCCACCACCACGAACTGTTCCCCCTCTGCACCCTGCCTTGGAGCCAGTCTATGAACTGAAACCTCTACAAACTGAGCTGAATAAACCTTTCCCCCGGTATTTTGTCTCAGCAATGAGAGAAAAGTAACTAAGACATCCATCTACTTCCTAATTCCCTAAAAACTCCAGGTCATCCTGACTCTTTTCTCTTTGAATTCTGCAGTATAAATTACCTATGCTATTGATTTTGGCACCTGAACATACAGAGTACTTTACTGTATTGTTACCTATCTCAGGTACACAAATCAGCCTTATAGTATAGTAAGTCCCTCACTCTAAAACATTCGAATTGTGAACTTTCACAGATACAGACAGACCTTGCATTACAGACATTCATAAATGCAAACAAATTGTGAAAGTAGCATACGTGTCTATCTTACCATTTTAAGGTAACTGTAAAAGTAAAAATAATTTATTTACAGTTGTACTGTACCACCATTTTAAGGTAACTATAAAAGTAAAAATATTTTATTTACAGTATTTGTGTTTGTGTGTTTGGTTTTTTATGCTTTACATTGTATATTTTTGTCAAATGTGTGAACTTAAGAATGAATCTGACTTATGAGTGTCCTGGAACAGATCTTGTTCATAAGTCAGGGACTTACCCTACCTAAAGGATAATGATCCAGAACTCTGTCTTTTGTGTTTCTGTTTATGGAATAAATGTTAAAACATAAAATGGTTAATATATACCTTCAATAAATGAGTCTGCACAGAGCTCTGAAAACTGTAGACTGGGCAGTGTGCATTCCTTTTGTGTCTGTGTTATATAAGATTATTACCTAATATGACATTCAACCATAATTTAGGGTAGAAGTTCTCAAATTTTTTGGTCACAGGTTTTTCTTTACACTCTTAAAAACTACTGAGGATCTCAAAGAGCTTTTGTTTATGTGAGTTATATCCACTGATATTTATTATATTAGAAATTAAAACAGAAAGTTTGAAAACACAGGAATATCCAAGCAAGCATTCTGTTAGCTCTTAGAGTGATCACATCTATGTAGCATTTGGAAATCTTCACTGCCCATTCAAGAAAGTAGAAAAGTGAAAAGAAAAAAAAGTCTTAGTGTTATCTTGAAAATATATCTAACATTCTATGCCCTGTAAAGGATTCAGTTGATTCTCCCACCACAACCACCACCAACACACACACACACACACACACACACACGCACACACAAATTATCTAGTCTACCCTTCAAAAATTGCTGGTGTAGGATAATGTTAGTTTTCACCAATGGAATAATGAGTAGCAGACTGTGTCAGCTGTTCCAAATTATTTTCATATAAATGACTATATAAATTAGTAAGTCATAATTAAAACAAGATTATCCACTGTAGAATATATATGGCACTTCTATATACCGTATTGACAGTAGGACTGTTGAAAGCAGGAAGGAAAGTATATATCAAATAGTCAAACTGAAGGTTCTTCTACACATTTCTTCTAAGTACAATAATGTCTTTACTTGGAACCTGTCACTCAATATAACTTGCAGTTGATTAATGGAAAATATATCAATAATCAGTTTATCTTTTGTATTGGTCAGTCTTCCTACTGCTGGGACAAAATACTTAACACCCACAAATTAAAGGAGAGATTTATTTGACTCATCGTTTCAGAGGGTGCAGTCCATGGTTAGCTGGCTCCAAAGCAGAAATGCAAGGGTAGAAGGGCCTGCAGGAGGAAAACTGCTCAAACAGTGGCAGCCAAGAAGCAGAGAGAGAGGAAGAAACTGGGGACAAAAATAGATCCTTTCAAGTCATGGCCTTAAGCAACCCACCTCTTTCAACTAGCCCCAGTTTCCTAACACCACATTCAGCTATGAACTCATCAGTGGATTAGTCACTGATGAATACAGTACCTCCATGATCCTCCTTCCAAAAGCACTACCTCTGAACACTCACTTTTGGGGGACATTTTAGGTCTATACCCTAATAGCTTGCTTTAGTTATAAATTCACACTTAATAAATGCACCAAAAAGAGAGGGTATAGCTATTTCATTATGTTCTATTTCATTTTTAGCAAAGTTCCAATGGCCCTGTAAAGAAGTCCATGCGTGAGAAGGCTGTTGAAAGGAGGAATGTTAATAAAGAGCACAATAGTAACTTCAAAGCTGGATATATTCCGATTGATGAAGATCGTCTCCATAAAACAGGATTGAGAGGGAGAAAGGGCAATTTAGCCATCTGTGTGATTATCCTCTTATTTATCCTGGCTGTCATCAATTTAATTGTGAGTATGTGGTACAAGTATTCTCTTTTTAATTACCAGGGGGGGAATTTTCATCCTTTTTATAATGATACCATGGACTTTGTCTCTCTAATTTCTTTTGCCATGCTTATTTTCTGCTTTTCTATGCATGTTTTATTTATGTATAAAAAACTAGTAGACTAATATTTTCATATATTAATCTCATTTAGAAAAAATGGTTGATGGATCCTTAAAGCATTTTTTTTGGTACCGGGAATTGAACTTGGGTCCTTGTGCTTGCAAGGCAGGCGATAGAACCACTGACCTAAATCCCCAGCCCAACTTTTTTTTTTTTGCTTGAATTCTTTCATTGGTACATTTAAGGTATACAATATGTTTACATTTATCATTGGATGCTTGTACCTGTACATGATGTATCTTGGTTCTTATTTTTTCCCCATTCCCTGTCCTCCCTTCACCCTCTCCACCCTTCCCTATTTACAAACACTTTGTTTCCATTTTTTTCTTTTCTCATAATTTTTCCTTTCCCTTCTTACCTTTCCCCTTCCCCTCCAACTTCCCCTACCCCTTTGGACCTTTTCTTCCTATTTTAAATTATCAATTATTTGTTTTAATCATTTAATCCTTACTTACACTTTCAGTTTCTCACACTAGAGAAACTATTCAGTATTTACACACGTGTGTCCTATTTATTTCACTTAAGAGGTTGGCCTCAATAGGCATCCATTTAGCTATAAATGTCTCTAGTTTCTCATTCTTTATGGCTGAGTAGTACTCCATTTTATAAGAAAACCCACATCTTCTTTATCCAGTTTCCAGTTAATGGGCACTTAGGCTGTTTCCAAGCTTTAGCTATTATGAACTGTGCCCCTATAAACATGGGTACATATATATCACTGTGGTATGATTCTTTTAATTCTTTTGGGAAGATACCCAGCAGGGGAATAGCTGGGTCAAATGGGACCTCTAGTCCTAGTTCTTTGAGGTATCTCCACACTGATTTCCACAGTGGTTGCACCAGTCTGCACTCTCACCAACAATGGAGAAGGGTTCCTTTCTCCCCACACCCCAGCCAGCATTTGTTATTAGATGATTTCTTGATAGCAGCCATTCTTTCTGGGGTGAGGTGGAATCTCAGTGTTGTTTTCATCTGCATCTCTCGAATGACCAGTGATGTTGAACATTTTTTTATATGTTTATTTGCTGCTTTTTCTTCTTTGTCTGAGAAATGTCTATTCATTCCAGATGCCCATTTTTGAATTGGGTCTTTAAATTTGGGGAGTCTGATTTTTTTCAGTTCTTAATATATTCTAGATAGTCCTTTGTCTGAGGTACAGCTGCTAAACATTTTTTCCCACATCATAGGTTGTCTCTTAGCTCTGTTGGTGGTTTCTCTTGCAGTGCAGAAGCTTTGTAGTAAGATGAGATCCCAGTTGTTGATTCTTTGTTAAAGCACTTAATTTTTTGTTTTTGTTTTTTGGTACCAGGGATCAAACTCGGGTCCTTGCGCTTGCGCAGCGGGCAGCGAAACCACTGAGCTAAATCCCCGGTCCCAAAGCCCTTAACTTTTAGTAAAGGTAGAGACAACTCACTAGAGGACAACTTTGCCATGATTTTATTGCCTTCATCTCTTCTAAAAAAAAAAAAAAAAAACTTTTTCTGTTTTCATTCAGCTGTTCCTGTATTTGGTGTTGCCTCTTCACGTAGGTTTTAGATCTAGAGACCTCTGATGGCAGTCACGGTCTGTATTTTGTAATCCTAAATCCTTATTGTCAAGAATGAAAGCATCTAGGGCTGGGGATTTAGCTCAGTGGTGCCTCTGCCTGCCTCGAAAGTGCAAGGTCCTGAGTTCCAGTCCCAGGTACCAAAAAAAAAAGACAAAAAGTAGGAGAAGGAACAGCAGATAACAGGAGAGACTGCTTGTGTGTGTTTTGGGGACAAGGTGGCAGGCTGCATTGGTGAAGTGCTTTGCGCAACCCTGAAAAGCTTCAGGAGTTAGAAGTATAAGTACTATACCTTGAAATGCTGGAACTCAAACAGAATTTGTTTGAAACATTTGCTAGTAGATGCCTAGGCTTACCCTGTCTTCCAGCAAGCAATTAGACAACTACCCTTCCTAACCCATCCAAAAGTAGTGTGTATCTGGACATCCTGGACCAGACAGTTTATTGTTGCCTGAGCTCATTATACTGAGAGGCTTCTGTGGGTTTCCATCCTAAAGGCAAGACTGTTTGGATGCTGAGTACTGAGACTCCATTTCCCATACTCCCTTAACCTCATCCTCCACTTTCTGGCATTAGTCAAGAGAAGCCCTCTCTGGAGAACTGAAACGCCTAGATATATGATGTGATGGCAGTGACATTTGGTAGATCCCAGTGGGGGAAAAACCACAGACTGTCCCTATTGTTATAAGCCCCACCCTACATGAAGAATTTTCAGTGCACATTTTATAGAATCCTGTTAAATATGAGCCCCTGAGCCAGGAATTACTAGGGTTTTTTTAAGGAAAATTCCAAGAATTGGAATAACAGTTCATTTAAAAGTAGCAATTAAAGAATAAGAAAGAACTCAGAAATATATACACATGGATAAATGGATGGTTGGTTGGTTATTGGGAAATAAAGAAAGGAAGCTCTTCCAGAATGTTCAAGAAATTTGAAAAACCAGTCCAGTTTTCTGTTAATCAATAGCAGATTCGGAAGGAGAGAAAAGAGAAAACACTAGAGAGAATATTATCAAGTGAATTAAGAAATGTTTCTAAAATAAATGGAAAACTACCATTCTGAGTTCAGTATAATTTATTTAGAAAGAAAAAAAGGCTCACATATGTCCACTACTGTGAAATTTACGAACCCCGTGAGTAAAGAAAAGATCCTAAAATTTTCCAGAGCAAGGAAGAAATAGGTTGTATATAAAGAACACAAAGAGTGGCATTGAACTTCTGAAACACAGCATTGGAGACTCGAAAGCAAGGAGCAATGGCTTTCAACGTTTAGAAAGAAAGTAATTTCAAATCAGTAAAATACCTAGCCAGAGAATCAATCAAATGTGAGGGATTATAAAGACATTTGGTAAACTGAAAGATATCTCACACAAGAGAAAGACCAAAGTTACAGCCTGAAAGTGAAGAAAGAGTTCACAGTTAGGGCTGTGCAGGAGGCTAGAGACCAACCAGTCCAGACTGGATCAGGAAGATGGGTTCCAGAGAGGTTTTCTGAGAGAGAAAAATAGAACTAATACTTAGACTAGTTATCTTCATTATCTGAAGCTTAAACTTAGAGACCGTTTTATGGAGATATTTATGGAAATGTTAAGGATTTGAGAATTAGATTTTTCAAAGAAACTAAACAAATTAAAGAAAAAAATATTAAGTCTGAGAAACACAAAGTACAAGAAGGTGCTATCATAGTGCAGTATTTGGGTTAACAGTGAACAGCATTTACATGGCCATATTACAGAAAGCATTGAACGTGACCTTAACTTAAAACTTGAGATTGGAGTTCGGATAAAAAAGAGGCATATAAGTAATCTAAAATTCTCATATGCTAAAATAAGAAATAGATAAAACCTAAAATAGATAAATGAAGAAATATAATAATATACATATTACTTAGAAATATGAGAGTAAATGCTATGTGAAATAGTTAAACTTGTTGAAAATGGTTATCCCTAGGAAATGAGATATGGAGAAGATAGACAAAATAAGAACTGCTCTTTTTTTTTTTAATTGTAGACCTCTTAGTGTATTTTAACTTCATGGCAATTTGTGTGTAATCCTGTCATAAAAATAAACTCGACTTGTTTTTAAGCAGAAAACCACTTGATATGTTCATCTTACTGATTGAACGTTTCAGGAAGTCTTTAATGCTTTGGCAGTGATCTTCTGTCTTCTGGGTGAGTCAAGTGTATGCTGCTTATTAACGGAGGGCTTGCACTCTTTTTCAGATAACTCTTGTTATCTGGGCTGTGATTCGAATTGGACCAAATGGCTGTGACAGCATGGAGTTTCATGAAAGTGGTCTGCTTCGATTTAAGCAAGTGTCTGACATGGGAGTTATTCATCCTCTTTATAAGAGCACAGTAGGAGGAAGGCGAAATGAAAACTTGGTCATCACTGGCAACAACCAGCCTGTAAGTCACCACATTACCATGTTAAATGTGGTATGAACATGGAGAGAGACAGTGGAGAAAAATTCTTTACAAAAGCTAGAGCTGATTACTGGAAATACATGTCTTCCTGTACAGAAAAAAATATTATTATATTCATGAATATATTTATTTTTTCATAAATAGTCAATATTTAATAATGGTTGGTTTTATAATCTATAAAGTGAGATAGTTTCTTAATATTCTAGTTTGTTCGATGGTAGCATTGCTAGATGTAATTAGTACAAGAATACATAAGTTATTCTTTTCTCCTCCCTATGAGAACACTATAATCAAACCACATTCCCAGGTTAGAACATCTTGTATTTCTTGAGACTCTGGAAGGTGATATACCACTCTGCTCAATAGCAGACGATGCCAGATGGCAGCTGTGATATAGGCTGTTAACTGAGTAAAACCTCAAGAAGGTATTCTTACCTCCACCCCGGGCCATATTCACTATGACCCATGTATTTGTGCATGGAGTGGGGTGGGGGCGGATGCAGTTAAAAGTATTTGAAGTTAGTCTATTATTGTAGTTTTTAAAAGTAGTGTTTGCTTTTGTTTATTCTTCATGAATTTTGGTTGCAGCATTCTTTGAAAACATTCACAGTAAAGTATTTTTTCTGAAGATTGTTTTTCAGCAAGGGACAACAAAGCTCAGTGTAGAAAAGAACAAAACTTCTATTACGAGTGACATTGGTATGCAGTTTTTTGACCCAAGGACTCAAAATATCTTATTCAGTACAGACTACGAAACTCATGAGTTTCATTTGCCAAGTGGAGTGAAAAGTTTGAATGTTCAAAAAGCATCTACTGAAAGGGTATGATTTATTTTCTTTGCTTTACTCCTAGGAGAAAATTATTGTCTATAATTATAAAGCAGGAGGACAATCTTACTACTTCACAGTGGTATTAAAGAATGTATTCCAGAATGTTGGAAATTATTAGTTTTAGATCTGTTATTACCTTGCTTGTCTCAGCATTATCAAATCCTTTCTTTACATCAGTTCCCACATCTTGAAAATTTCCTTTCATATCTCATGGTTGAAATTACCATTTCTCTATTATAATAATTCTCATATTAATTTAGAAACTGTTTTCAGTACTTTCTTTTGTTTGTTTCATTCTTAGATTACCAGCAATGCTACCAGTGATTTAAATATAAAAGTTGATGGGCGTGCTATTGTGCGTGGAAATGAAGGAGTATTCATTATGGGCAAAACCATTGAATTTCACATGGGTGGTAATATGGAGTTAAAGGCTGTGAGTATATTTTTTTAAAGAATTTAAGATAATTATTGGGTTCTTGGATACATGAATCTATACATGGAATAGTATACAGTTATTAAAATGATGATTTTTGTTACGGAAGAGGTTCAAAATAGATTGTAAGTGAAAGTTATTAAAATAATTTGTGAAATACCACATTTTTATTTTTCAGTACATATGTATGTTCATAAAAACCTGGAAGGATATGTCAAAATATTGACAATATTCAGCTGTGGGTAGTAGGATAACAGATAATTGAATCTTATTTTAATTTCCGCTAGCTTTTATTTTCTAAATCCTTTTGTATTATTTTAAAAAGCAAGAGAAGAAACCTCTAAAAGAGAATTCTGAAAGGTCAAAGTACCAGTTCCCTGAAGTTGTTGTTGATGATTTTTTAAAATAAAAGATTCTTCATATCCTTCCCTGAGTTTCATATCTAGTCATGTGGAAAAAATAGCAAATGTATAAAATGTATTATTACTTAGACATCTATTTTTGATTATAAAGGAAAAAGATTTTTGCCTTTATTGTGGCTTTTTAAGTGAAATTTTCTTTGTGTTTCACAGATTACATCTGAAATTTAGCAGGCATCATACTTCATATAAAGGAGACATAAGTCTCAAAGCTTGTTACTACCACATAATTCTGGTCAAAATGTATTTATTCAAAATGCCTTTGAGAACCTACTATATATTACTTAACTAATGCTAATTAAATTTGTCTACCAAGCATTACATAACAAAAGAGACCTTAAAAGTAAGGACTTTTAAGTAATGCTTTCATTTTTTAAAAAATTAAATTTCAATTCTTAGAAATAATCAAGTTTAGAAAATGAGGTATTTGCCTCATTTTCATAAACAGACTTTTCCCCTAAAGCACAGAATTCCATCTCTAAATAATAAAGATGAACATAAGTGTAATTCTTGCATAAATGCCCTAGCAATACAGAATAGTTTTGACTTGCACTGTGGTAAGAAGCCATTCCCCTAAGGGAACCGAGAAACAGCCATGGCAGGACCATAGTTCTCTGCTCTCAGAAGTCAAAACAGTGAGAGGTTGGACTGTTTATACAGACCGTGGGAAAGTTACTGCAAGTTACCTCAACCCTTTATTTTTCTACCAGAAAATTTTTGTCTCATTCTACCTTGTTAATATGACAAATATTAAAATATTTTGAAGTACATGTGGAAACATAATTTCTTTACAGTTAAAGGAAAAGGAGCCAATATTAAAAGGAAACTAGCCTTTTATTATAATTAACATATATTAAATGTACACGTTAATGGATTTCACCATGATGTTTCTATATGTGCATACAATGTGCAATGATCCTGTCCACCCTCCCTCCTAACTACTCTTGCCCCCTTCCTAGTCCCTAATAGTCCCTTTTCTACTTTCAGGTCATTTTTTTAAAGTTTCTATATATGAACAAGTAGCTTTATAATTCAGTTAAGATCAGTGGTTAATTTTTAATATAAGCTAAATATTAGAAAGAATTTTATCATCAAAATTCTGGGAAGCTGAAGCAAGAGAATAGCAAATTTGAACCCAGCATGGGCAAATTAATGATTCACTGAGACCCAAAATACAAAAAAAAAGCAGAGTATGTAACTCATTGCAAAGGCTCTGGGTTCAAGCCTCAGTACGGAAACAAAAACTAAACCCAGAATTTGATCAAACTACTTTTTCAGTTTTATTTTTTCTTTTTAGATTTATAATTGACATATAAAATACACATATATAGGGTACATTATGATGTAATAAAATTTGTATAATGATCAAATTTGATTAATTAGCATAGCCATCACCTCAAACATTTATCATTTCTTTATGGTGAAAACATTCAAAATCCTCTCTTCTAGCTATTTTTTAAAATATATTGTTAACTATAGTGATCCTCCTGTTCTGGGACACTAGAATTTATTGAAAATGGCTTAAGAAACTATTTAAAGAAAATAATTTTAAATGACCACAAGATGGCAGCATAGGAACAAAATTAGAAAACTACGCAGTTCCTTAATAATTATGTTCTATGGAAATCTTCCAAAATCCAAAACACTCTCTAATCTGAAATATTTATTATCCCAAGCATTTCAGATAAGGGATACTCGGCCTGTGCTGCCACTACCTGATAAATTAGCCATGTCCATTTCTTTATAACCAACTGCTTTCTCATTGCTTCTTACACCCTCTGTAAGCTGATGACTATCATAGCTGAAACTCCTGCCTTAACCTTTCCTCTGAACTAAGATTTACTTAACCAACTGCCTACCTACCTTCTCCACTTTCATACCTAATAGACATCTGAAATCCAGCAAGTCCAAAGTCTTGATATCCTCCTTACCTGACAAACATGCCTTTCTCTCAGTGGCCATGCCCTGTACAGTGATACCCAATCCACCAGCAAAACTTTCCGGCTCCACCTTCAGGAGATACAGTCTGGCTGTATCACCGCCATCACCACCATGATGTAACCTGCTCTCATTTCCTGCCTGGACTTGGAACAGCCTCCCAACTGGAAATTCTGCTTTGTCCCTTCACACCTGTAGGCCCTTCTTTACCTAGCAACCCTAGTGACCTTTTAAAAAGCATCTCTCATTTCCATCTTCTGTACCCTCTAAATGACTTCCTGTCTAATTTCAAATAAAATCCAAAGTTCATTCCCTGCCCCTACATGTCTAGCCCTCAGTTATTTGTCTCATCTCTACTAAGACCTCCCCCCACCCTCAGGGCTTCGTCCACACTGACCTCCTTAGTGTTCCTAGAGCATCAGGCATGTCTTTGCCTTTGCGCACACTCTTTCCTCTGCTCCGCATGCCCTTCCCCAGTTCGCTCTATGGCTTCCTCCTCACTTCCAGTTTCTCATGGCATGACAATCCACCACAACCACCCTGTGAAAGATGGAATCTCACCTGACCACTCTCTCTACTTACCCAGCTTTATTTTTCCGCATAGCATTTATCCCACCTGATACCCTATCTGTTTTGCCTGTTTGTTTACTGTCCACTCCCACTGCATTAACTGTCAGCCCTATCAGAACTTGGACCTTGCCCATTTATGTACTGCTGTAGCCCCAGCACTTAGAATAGTGCCTGGCACACAGTAGGCTATTAGTAATTAGTTGTTGAGTGAATGAAAGGAAGAAAGGGGTGAGAAGGAAAGAAGGGAGAAGAGGTCCCTAAAAAGAAAGGGTCTTAAGGGTCTAGAGTATGAGTGTTTCTGGGGAAGTGGACTTCAAGAAGAGAACCTCCAGGAAGTTTCCAGTCTTCAAAATCACACGTCTTTAATCTTCAGTCTCCATTCATTAAAATTAATTCCCTTTAGGAGAAAAGTAGTATTTTTATTCTCATCATCACAAACTTATCCATAACTTTGTTACAGTTTCTTGAGGAATTAAGTGAAAATAATCCGAGACTTTATCAACATGAGTTTTATTATATACTTAGGAGTTTTAATGTAATTTTAACTAATAATTGCAAGTTATGTTGCAACTGACATACTGTATATATTGACATACAGGATAAATTTAATAAGCTAAAAAGTCACTATTTGAATTTTTTTTCACTGTGGTACTGGGAATTCAACCAGGGGACTCTACTACTAAGCTCCATCTCCAGCCTTTTTTAAAATTATTTTTTATTTTGAGACAGAGTATAAGTTTCCCAGGCTGAACTCAAATTATAATCCTCCTGCCTCAGTCTCAGGAGTTAACTGGGATTATAGGCATGTGCCACTGTGCCCTACCAGTTGAATTTTGACATTGGTTTGGGTTTGTGCTATTGCCATCATAGTTTGGTCATGACTTTATTCTCTTAGTACCTTCTTTTGTTGTTAATATTCCAGTAACTTTTGTTTAATAACTTCATTCTATACCCACCTGTGGAGGTAAGTAAATCATATCATCATCATCCTCATAGGAAAACAGCATCATCCTCAATGGCACTGTGACAGTCAGCACAACTCGCCTGCCCAGCTCCTCCAGTGGAGACCAGTTGGGTGGTGGGGACTGGGTGCGCTACAAGCTCTGCATGTGCGCTGATGGGACTCTCTTCAAAGTGCAAGTGACCAGCCAGAACATGGGCTGCCAAATCTCAGACAATCCCTGTGGAAACACGCGTTAGAATGCCAGAGGTCATCCAAATGTTTATATCTTGACTTGACGTTTGTTTTTTAAGAGTATGCATGCACATAATGTTTTTACAGTTTGTGATAACTCACTGGAATTATTTTATCTGAGAGCACTACTTTATCTATTATGTAGTCTCCCTATTTAAAATATTCTTGAGACCCTAAACTCTAATGTATTTTATTAAGTTGCACTGAGTTTCAAGAGACAGTGCTCTAAATAATTAGAAGAAGTTAATAAAATTAATCTTTAAGGAAGTGTTTTTAAAGTTCCACTATTCCTTGTCTGAAGGATTTTAAAGGGCTGAAGCAACTGCTTTGATGCTGTAAGTAAGTTTTGGGTCTGATAGACCCACCAGAAGCACGACATCTATTTTTCTTTTTCCTTTTCAAATTAGTACGTGTTTGCAGTACATAGTTTTTCGTGCTCTGTTTTTTGGCTTCTAATAGGAAAGACACAGATTTTTAGTGCACTAACCTTGAGCCATTTTCTCACATGCAAGTGAAGGAATTAAAAAAGTGTACGTATGTGAGACAGTAAGAAACTATGGTTCCTTAATTTTGCACTAAGAAGAAAATACTCTGTAATAGAGTGATTATTTGAAACAGTTATAAATATTATGTGTTCATAATGTCATGGAAATTAAAACACAATCTCAGCTTTAACTTTTAAATAATAATAATAGCTGTCATTATCCTAGGCATTGCATATTTAATATCGCTAACTCTTACATCAACTCTGTAAGTAGGTGTTATTGTCCTAGTTTTAACCAGTAAGAAACTACAGATCAAAGAAATTAAGAAACCTGCCTAATATCACATAGTAAATAGCAGAGTTGGGATTGGAATTCAAGTGTCGTTTAAATCTTGATGTACCTGATTCCAAATACCATCTTCTTTTTAATATCTCCACTTAATTTTCAGTTATTTAAAACTCTAGGCAGATGAAAAAAAAGATGAATTCAAACTTACCTAACCTAAACCACTCTAGCTGAAAGATAAATAAATTTCATGTCACACAAAAAACCAATCACTGTCAGATTTCAAACTATCTTAAGCCAATTCCAAAATATTATTGTATAAAGAGGACTAATTGGCCTCCTTGTGAGTTGTGCCAGTTTTCCAGCTTTGGCGCACAGGAGTGTCTGAATGGGCTACAGAGATGCTGAGGGTTCCTACTCCCCACAGCGCCATGCGGGGAAGGCAGTCAGCCCATGGGGCCTGCTCCAGAAGTGGCCTGATGTGCTCACTCCAGTGTGCTGCACTAATAGCACCCTCACAGTATGCTGTGCCCTGAAAAGACGTCAGGATGCACTGGACTAAAGGGTGCTAATACAAGAGATAAGTACTGTTAAGTAAATAGAAGAATTTATTTCTGCTTCTCATATCACTCTGTGGAATCATTAACACAGACAGCATCAACAACAGGGACCTCAAAATAAAGTGCTATAAAATAGGCATAAAGTGTGATAGACCCCACCTGCACTGAAGTATAACCATATTCTGTCATGGTCACTTTGAACTGTATAAGATAATCAATATGAAAAAAAAACAATTTATATTCAATATAGCTATGATTCTTTCTGACAGAAAAACCAAATACCTTAGAGACTATGAAATCAATACATTATACTCAAATAAAAATTGATTTATTATCTAAAACTGAGTGCAGCTTTTAAATGAAAAGAGAATGAGATTTGTGACCTTTGAGTATTATTAATTGTAGTGATATTTGAACTTATTTGAATATATTCAATGTCACTTAATATCTCAAACCTACACAGAAAAATCATTGGAATTTTTGCTTATATGCTCAGTATAATTTTAAAATTTTGCATTCATTACTTGTCTGCTCTAGGTTTTGAAAGATTCTTTAAGTATTTTTACTAAAACCACAGAACACTACATTACAAAGTATTATTTATTGAATCTAATTCATAAACTAATCTATTTTTACTTCTACTTGAGAAGTACTTGTGTTTTTGGTACATCTCCTTTAAGTGCTTTTGACATGAGAAGACATTCTGATGTTTTTATAGAACTGGGTGTTAACAGTATAGCATTTTGGTATATTTTGTAAGTGGTCTGTGATTTTTCACTGAAAAGTAGACCTAGGAAATGTACTGGGAAGCAGAACAAGAACGAACCAGCCATTTTACCTGTGACCTATCTTCATTTGCTATAAAGTTTCAGCTCCCCAAACTCACCACCAGATGGTACTTTTCTGTAAGCAGAAAAATTTGCCTCTTCCTGCTGTCTGTTCACTCCTCTGCATTGAGCAGCAGCAGCCCTGGGCAGGTGGCTGACAAAGACAGGAGCTGGGGCAGGGTGAGATTCATGCTTGCTTAAATGATAACAATGTTCTAGAGGTGCATCGCAATGATAAGGGGGACAAAAGAAATACAAAATTTTTTAGACTCTAATGGGCTGAAGGGGAAAATGCAAAACCACACAGAGACTGCCTATAGTCTGCAGTATTTTAATATATATGTATTTGTATTTTTGCATTATGAAAAAAACAATACATTTTGTGTGATAGTTTTGATTATGAAAGGTACCAGTTCTATGTAGTTTTGAATGAGTGTTTTGAATGTTAATGGTGCTAAACTTGACAGAAGAGACCATTGAAATGCTAATAATTTTAATATTCTTTTTAAAAGTGTTGAAAAAGGCAAAGATTAAAAATTGTGCCATATAAAAATCAACCTATAAATTTGTTTCACATTGCTAGCTTGAGTTTCAGTTCAGTTTGTACTAATTATTAATGACCTCTGTTTACAATAAAAATTCTGTAAACTGTTTGCTCTTAGTTTTTTAATGGTTATGTATTGGGTTTCTGTTTGGTCATGAAAATATGATTTAAACATACTTGAGAATGGGACACCAACTTTATTCATGTAATCTCTCTGGGATCAGAGTTAGAAAGCTAGGCATTCCCAGTTCAGATATTCCTCCCTCCTGTGTGTTACAGAAGGCCTGAGTCCAGTGTAGCAGGGGAGTGCACACACTCACCATGGCAAGAGGCCAGAGCCAAGAGCCCAGAGCCAGGTGACAAAAGGGTAAAGGCCTGCCAAGCAGCAGGTGTGATGGCAGGATGGGTGGAGCCTCTCAGCACAGGTCTAAAACCCACACCTGCCTTGATCCAGCTATAAACCACTTGAAAACTACTTAAGGATCTTAAGTGTGCCTCAGGAGCAACGTTAGCATCGGTTTCTTTCCACATCATGTTATCACCAAAGGTAATCCCGCTTGGGTTTTTTTTACCTTCTCTTTATGTAAGAAGGAATTCTTTAACTTTCTACTTTTTTTACTACTTTTTCCATTTTTTCTCTCACTCTCTGATATGCATACACATCCAGTGTTTTTAACTGCTTTCTCATCACTTCAGCTTGAATGTGCCTTAAAGACTTACGTTGTATCTAATTATTTTCAGTTTCTTCAGAAACTTTTTCTGGAGCTCTCAATGGTTTCTTATCTAGTACATATAAATTTGTATGTAGTATAAAATTTTCATACATTAATACCTTTCACTTTAAGATGTAAGATTATCCTTGATATTTTGAACTCAACTCTATTAATGTATCAGTCACTTCAACTTAAAAATAAGCAGGGCAATAAAAATGTTTAATTTGGGGCCGAGAATTTAGCTCAGTGGTTCCGTCGCCTGCCTCGCAAGCACAAGGTCCTGAGTTTGATCCCTGGTACCAAAAAACAAGTTTAATTTGTACCCCCTTAAGAAAAAATATTTTCAATCATATCTTTCTCTTCAGTTCTGCAAACTAATGTGCCTGTGAATGATGGCAATATTTTTTGTTGTTGTTGCTAATGTTGTTACATTAGCTTGATATACTTTTGTATATATAATCATAATTGCAGCTTTGAATGTAGAGACAAATATCTTTCTGATTGGGGGAAATCAATTCAATTTCTGGTATTGGATAAGGGACACACTGTAAATCACTTCTCCTTGCTGGAGGGCACCTTTGCAGTGTGTACTTGAAGATGATCCTTAGATGCCCTTCAAAATATGTCAGAATTGACCTTGTGTGAAACAAAAGTTTAAAAGTTATATTGTAAATTTCTTTTACCCTATCCATTCATTCATTCAAAGAGAGCATAGCCCAGTGACAGGCTATAAAGTATTAAAAATATTAAACATGGAAATATATGTGTGTGTGTGTATCATGGTCCTTAACATTCATTTGGGGTGTTCAAAACAGACACAGAGTAAGCACTACCAATACAGGATAGTACATACATTCTTCCAAATTGAATGTTACTAACATGCATTTATTTCCTTTTTTTTTTTTGGTACCGGGGATCGAACTCAGGACCTTGCGCTTGTGAGGCAGGCAGCAGAACCACTGAGCCAAATCCCCAGCCCTCATGCATTTATTTATTCAATAAGTATTTATTGAAAGATTTGGGAAAGCATAAAGACAAAAGAGGCTACAGCAGGAAAAAAGTCTCACACCACAGGATTTGAGGTAAGTCTAGAAGGAAGTGTAGGATTTAGACTAAAAGGAAAAGGCATTGATCTTGGAATTGGGAATGAATGAAAAGCTAATTTTAGCATGAGATATATGTACAATCACATCGCCTGAGCCACATCTTGCAGTTACTCCACATATACTTATCAAGCTTATTTAATAAGGTTAGCTAGGTAATGTGAAGCTCTGAGTGCCAACCTGAGGGATCTGGACCACAAGCAATAGGTAGTCCTTTGAAGATTGTGAATAAGAAAATTATTTGAAGGAAAAAGGATTATGGGAAAATAATCCTTTGGAATTACCTGGGATGGATCAAGAAAGAGTCAGGAGGCTGGGGCAAGATGGGTTAAAACATTTGAGTATTCCAGACTGTGATGATAAAAACTAGAAGGAGTGCCATAGGTCCAAAGGAAGAGACAATTTATTATACCTTCTATACTGAATAATGTATTTATATGCACACTGGTTTTTTGGTTTTACACACCACTGAGGATTGAATCCAGGACCTTCACACTGAGCTGTATCCCCATTCATTTGTTCATTCATTCATGCATTCAGAGAGGGTCTCCCCAAAATCTCATAGTTGCCCAGACTGTGTCAAACTTTCAATCCTTCTGCTTCAGGCTCCCAGGGTCCTGGGATTATAGGTGAAGACCACCATGTCTGGCTACATGCTGGTTTTTAAATGGAATTTAAAATGGAGTTTAAAACATACCCCCAAAATCCATTTACATTTCTTTAAAAATCATTTTTGTATGTACCTTTGTAACTTGGGTATACTTGTTTTATAACTTTCAGTTGCTTTTCAAGAATTTTTAATGAAAAAGATCCCTGATGTTTCTTATTGCATCATGACTGAGGCACAGCTTCCTTTTCATAACTCATATATGTTGTATTTAATGTATTTAAATGATTTTAAAATTATTTGGGAGCCAGGGATTTAGCTTAGCGGTGCCGCCACCTGCCTCACAAGCACAAGGTCCTGAGTTCAATCCCTGGTACTAAAACAAAATAAAATAAAATTATTTGAGAAGTCACAAAAGCCACAAAGATAAAACTTGTCCTTCTACTTGTAAAATCAAACATCTTTTTTGTGAGCTGAACTTTCTATTCATGAAGTTGTGGGAGGTTCACAGCTTAGCGTAACTAGATGTCACTCATGTCATAAACCACATGGCTGATTACAGTGTTCTAGAAAAATGTAACAGACTTTGCCCCCTACTAATGAGCAGCAAAGAAACAAAGTCTTCAGTCTTAGGAAGTTTCACTTACTCCAAAACAGACTGCAGGGTGAATGATACTGTGAAAGCAGATACAGAGGTAAGGCCTTAGTGGATATGTATTTTCTGAAAATGCAGGAAGCCTTTTCTTTATAGTGTCATTTAAATGCCATTTTGTACCATTTCGGTAGCTACATTTTGATGTCTCAATTTCAAAGAAATCAATATTCATTCAGATCTGTAAATAACTCTCCTAAATCTTAAATTGAAAATTAAAATTTGTTTCTTATTTCCTGTTAGTTTTTATATAGTTTGAAAAGTCAGTTTTTCTCTAGGCATTAGAAAAGCATCTATTTCAGAGTCACTACCGTAGTTATAGGTCTTTACTGGAACAATGACAAACCTGCCAGGAAAAAGCAGTATTTTCTTCAATTCTCAGTGCCAGTGGATTGACTATCTTCTGACAAACTGTTTTTCTGCTAGGAAGCGTGAGATTCCCATGGACGGATCACAGACAGTACCCTCAATGGAGGTAGAGTTCTCTTACAGCCTCACACACAAAAAAAGAACAGAAAATAAAACATTTGGACCACAGTAACAATCTCATATCAAAAATGATCTTTGGTCCTCTCTCATACTTACACACTTTGGAAATACTGAACCTCAGCAACAGTGCCATTTGCTCCATCTCATTGGCTGTACCCAGTCCTGACTCCTCACAGGTGAGACACCACAGAAGCAGCTTCCAGAATGGACTTCTGCTTCTAAAGGTGTTCATTCTGCAAAGAAATAAACTCAGTGGCTCTCCTGAGAGTGAGTACAATTTTAAAAGATGGACTAGACAGAGAATGAGTATGTGAAGAATTAATGTTTTTTGTGAATAAGAATTCCATATTTTCAGTTTTGAGGGAACAGCTGAAAGTAAGGCGATTTTATCCGAGCAAATACTGTAAAATAAAAGGAGGTTTTTGGTTTGGTTTTGTGTTTGCCTGGAACCGGGATACTTTACCATTGAGATCACCCCCAGTCCTTTTTATTTTTATTTTGAACAGGGCTCTCTAAGTTGCCCAGGGTGGCTTTGGACTTGAGCTCCTCCTGTCCCTGTGCCACCATGCCTAGCCACAAGGAGTTTCCTCAGTGGTGTTGGAAGTTATAATATGTGGAATTTATAGTAAATGCAATTTAATCTTCTGATAGTGTAACTTATTACTAATGTTATATGGATTTACCAAGAGACACTAGGAAGTATTTTTTTTTATTAAATTCTTTTATTGGTACATTGTAGGTATACAACACAATTACATTTCTCATTGGGAATTGTACCTTTACATAATGCATCTTGGTTCTTA